ATAAAATAAACATAACATTTTTATTATTTGTTCTTTTTATAAAAAATTACTTCTGTTTCTTAGTAGTTTTGCTTTTGGCTAGATATGATGGTGTTGATTTTTTTGGGGTGATATTTACAGACACCAGATTACTTTCTAACTTATATGTGAAGATTTATTCACCACATATTTTAAAGCATCATTTTCTCATTATACTCATTATAACATTTTGATAATCTTAAAGCAGACATATTCTTCTCTAATAATCCTATCTAATAAAAGAGCAATATGCAAATTGTCCATCACACCAAGACCCAAGATGGCTGCTCCTATGTGGACACAAGATGGCTGCCACAGGATGGCCTGCAGGGGAAGACAGTGTGGGGTAGTAAGGGGTGACCAGGCCAGCAGAGGAGGGCAGTTGGTGTGACCAGGCCATGAGAGGAGGGCAGTTGGGGAGGCCAGGCCAGCTAGGAAGGGCAGTTGGGGGGAGGGGCAGGCCTGCAGGGGAGGGCAGTTATGGGAGACCAGGCCTACAGAAGAGGGCATTTGTGGGTGAGTTAGGGGTGACAGGGTCAGCAGTGGAGGGCAGTTGGGGGGAACCAGGATTGCAGGGGAGGGCAGTTGGGGGGGGGGGCAGGCCTGCAGGGGAGAGGAGTTGGGGGGATCCAGGTCTGCAGGCAAGGGTGGTTGGGGGGGACCCAGGCCAGAAGGGGAGGGCAATTGGCAGGGACCAGACCTGTAGGGGAGGGCAGTTGGGAGCCAGTAGTCCTGGATTGTGAGAGGGATGTCCGACCGACTGTTTAGGCTTAATCCCAGTGGCTGACCCTATGTGGACACAAGATGGCCACCACAAGATCGTCCAGTGGGATCGGACCAAACGGGTGGTTCGACATCCCTCAAAGGGTCCCAGATTGGAGAGAGTGCAGGCTGAGTTGAGGGACACCCCACTTCCTGCAAATGAATTTTGTGCACCGAGCCTCTAGTTTTTTATATACTTACTAGAGGCCTGGTGCATGAAATTCATGCATGGAGGTGTGGTGGGGGGCCTCTCAGCACAGCCTGCACTCTCTCCAATCCTTGGAGGACATCTCTGTCAGATCCTGAACCACTGGCTCCTAAGTGCTCATCTGCCTGCCTGCCTAGTCACTCCTTACTGTGCGCCTCTCCTCCCTCTCCCCCTCCCCCCACTGGCATGGTCGCCCCCCAACTGCCCCTCTCTGCTGGCCTGGTCACCCTTAACTGCCATCCCTGCCTCTGGTCTGGTTGCCCCCAACTGCCTTCTCCCCACCAGCCTAGTCACCTCTCACTGCCCCCCGCGCTGCCAGCCTAATAACCCCCAACTGCTCTCCCTGCCGGCCTGGTCTCCCCCAACTTCCCCTCCTCCCTGCTGGCCTGGTTACCCCTCATGGTCCCCCTGCTGGTCTGGTCACCCTAGCAGCCTGCTGTTCAGTCGTTTGGTCGTCCCTTACTAACCCCCCTGCAACCAGGTAGTATGCAGCCAGCCATCTTGTGAGGACGCGAAGGTCAATTTGCATGTTACCTCTTTATTATATAGGATTGATTACATTAGTGTTTATCCCCCTGCCACTTATTGAATGCAATAGCTCTTTAAGTTGTATATCACAGATGTATAATCCAAAAAATATTAGTGGTCCTATAAATTTTAAATTGTACTATAGGAAGATAGGATATAGGAAGAATAAAGTAAATGGGGATTATTTACTTTAACAAAAGAAAGAAATGTTCATGTAGGTTATAGAATTATAATTATTCAAACATTTTACATATCTGCTGTTTATTCAGTTAGCTTACATAATTTGAATTATAAAGATTTTTTTTTTTTTTTTGTCCAGCATCTAAAAGATAACTTAAAAGAGAAATGTAAGACATGTGTTATTTATTGGAGATGAGACTGTGAGCATCTTGAGGACAGAAAGGAAGAAAAGGAACTGTGAACTTTTGCTGTGTTCTAGGCATGATGTTAGGCACTTGGTTATCTCATTATATTTCTTTATTCACTTGGTATCCTCTGGGCTTAATAACTATGTCTAATACATAGTATATCATTCAATACATTTGTGTTTTATTTAAGATAGTGAAAGGAGAGATGAAAAGAAATGTATTGAACAGTAGCTTATTTGTATGAGTCTGAGTATCTTTAAGTTTCTTTTTGAAGATTTGTATCTTTTTAGAATATAAATTATGTTTATTTTATTTTATTTACCTTTATTTTATCTTTAGGCACTAGCATTATAACTAGTGTGTTTTCTTATGTTAACTTTGGAGAAGCAAACATTTTAGTTGGCTATAGACAATAAATATGGATTTTATACTGCTATTTAATTTAAAAAAATTATTTATTTTTGGTAAGGAAAATAGAATTTAAGTTTTGCTTTCAAATACTAATAACATAGTGCCTAGAATATAGAATGCACTTAGTAAATATTTGTTGAATGAAGGGTTTGTACATATCGGAAAAGCAATGTTACCTAGTAATTGATAGTACCAATAAATTATTTGCTGTGTATAAACTAGTATTTTCAATCTTTATAGCCTTGTAAAGATGGTTCAGGGAACAGGGAATATTTTAGTTGAAGCACTAATTCTTAACCTTTTTTTAATTGCCATTTTTGGGATAACTCTTTCAGGATCTGATGAAACATTCCAGTGAACGCACACAAGTAAAAACATACCTAGACTATTCTGCATATGGTTTTAGGAAGTTTACTGATCTCTCTGCTGAAGCTGTTTGGGAACCCCCAAAGAAGAGTAGTTTAGGAAATAGTGAAATAATTTTCACTAAGGAAAGTATTTTGGATAGGAATACACCAATGGTTCTTAACTAAGGGAGGTTTCAACTCCACAGGGGACACTTGACCATGTTTGGACATTTTTGGTTGTCTCACTGTTATGGAAGAGTGCTATTGGCATCTACTGGGTAGGGGATGCTCTAAGATAGGGGTGTCGAACTCAATCAGAGAAGGGGCCAAAATCTAAAATCCAGCCTAAATTGCGGGCCGAATGGTTTACTGAACAGTCATAAACTGTCATTGTGATGGAAACGCAGCGGAGTGCAGTGATGACAGCGCGGTGCGGGCCACATTGCAAGGCCTGGCGAGACGGATTTGGCCCGCGGGCCTTGTGTTTGACACATGTGCAAGATGTTTAAGAGCCAGGGATGCTCTTAAACATCTTACAACCTCTCCATAATAAAGGATTATCCAGCCCCAAATATACTTAGTGTCAATGTTGAGAAACCCTGGGATAGATGGCTTAATTAGTTTTCATAGCAAATTAAAATATTGGTATATTAGCGATAAAAAAAGGAATGCCTTAAATAATCTGTGGGAGGGGGAAAAAATCTTGGTGTATACTTTATTTAGCAACTCTATTTTTATGGTTCCTGTTAATTTGCTTTCTCACCATGGCTTCTCAAATCATAGTTGCAATTAAAAATAAAACCAGGAAAAAATGGACCTTTCAAAATGCAGAATTTTGCTTAACCATTTTCAATTGTTTTGTTATACTACATATGTCACTTAGATGATAAATTAACCAGCATATATTAAAAATTCTTGGTTTTCTTCAATATTCTTTGGCTTGACAGCTGATAGTAGCCATGACTATAAATGTGACTTTTCCAGATATCTGATGTAAACTTTATGGAGTAATTTTCATCTATATAGTGGACCAGCATGCATTTAGAAGAATCAGTTAAATGTATAAAATTGATCAAAACAATGTGACAGATATCCATAAACTGGATATTTACTAGAAGATACCAGATATCATACATCATATATTTTAATAGTCTGTTAGTTAAGCAATCAGGAAATTTAAATTTTATTTACCACATAGAGTTGGCATTTATTATAGCCCTGAAACTAAGTGGTTAGATATTTTTGATTAAAGGAACCTTGATGATTTCAGTTTAAAAGAAAATAAAATTTTTTTCTCATGGCTGTTATTTCCTCTTAGATTCGTTTTTCTTTCTCATTCACAAAGTATTGGTATTACCTCAAGTGTTTGCCTGGTCATAAAATAATTTCATGTGTTGAATATAGTGAGTATTAGTGTAGTGTGTGTTTCTCTGTTTTTCATGATATATACATATATACATATGTACATACATACATACATGTAACTAGGTATATATACATATATATAACATACTACACACACACAGTGAGAGAGAAACTTTCCATTTTATAATACTTCCACTTTGAAGGAATTAAGCTTATATTGATTGGTAAAAGAACTTTGATAATAATTTTCTGTGTCTACTCATATCCCTAACCTAACCAATTAGTTATTTAATAGATATCTATATATATAAAAGTCTAAGCAACTGGTTAACCGAATGACCGGTAGCTATGAAGTGCAATGACCATGCTCAACACAGGGGGCAGATGCTCAATGAAGGAGCTGCCCCCCTGGTGATCAGTGTGTTCCCACAGCAGGAGTGCTGCTCAGCTGACCAACCTGTCCTGGCAGCCCACCAGCCTGGCAGCAGCCACTCTCTCCCTCAGTAGTCCTGCAGGTCCAATTTCCAGAGAACAGGCCAGGCAATGATGGACCGGCACCACTGGCATGATTCCAACAGCACCACCGGTCTCCTGGAAGTCGACCTTGGGCACTGTGGCCATTGCCCCTCCCTAGACACTCTATAAGGAAGAAATGTTATAAAAGCAGCCTCCTGGTAGCTCCTGACAACTGGCATGAATGTGAGGGGGATGAATCTCGGGCTGGCAAGGGTATCCCACCACCTGCCCAAAGGGCCTATTGCATTCTGGGCTCCCTACCCCCCTCGGGACAGGTGCTAGATTCAGAGTTCATGGCTGGCAAGCACCACGACAGCAGTACAAGCCTCTCCCAATCAGAACTGACTGGCTGGGAGCCCGCTGGTAGGTGCAGTGGGGCCAGAATGAGGGGGAACAGCTGGCGGCCAGGCCAAGGTACTGCATGGTGCATGAATCCATGTACCTGGCCTCTAGTATGCATATAAGATCTTTGGTTAACCTCTTCCCATCCTTCCCCCTCCCCTTCCCTCTGAGATTCATCAATCTGTTCCATGTTTCCATGCCTGTGCATTGAGCTTCTGTCCCCTGGTGGTTAGTGCATATCATAGTGACCAGTCAAAAGGTCGAACAGTTGCTTAGGTTTTTATATATATAGACTAGAGGCCCAGTGCACAAATTGTGTGTGGGTAAGGTCCTTAGGCCTACCTGGTGATCAGGGCTGTTCAGGGCCTTCTGGCTGCTGGCCAGGGCCTCCCTTTTCTGGCTGCTGGCCACTGGCTGGGGTCTTTCTTCATTTTGTGCAGCTCCCTGGTAGTCAGTGCACATTATAGCGAGTGATTGATCTCCCAATCTCCCAGTCGACACACAAACACATATACATATATATGCGCGCATTTAATTCAAAAATTATTTCTGACATTTCCTAGCTAATTATATCTTATTCTTATAGATTACATTAAGATGTGACATTAAGACATTTCTTAGTTTTTAGATCTTTGAAACATGATAAAGGAAGTCTTAACCTATATTATGAGTCATCGTGGAGTTGAAGTTTGGTAATAAGTGGGACAAAAGTAAAAGTAATAGAAAAATGATGTTAAAAATGCTGAATTAGTGCCTATTTTGACTTCAAAGATTTATATACATATTTTTAATGCCTTTATATAATAAAATGTTACTTTCTAGTCCATTTTAGAGAAGATTTTGATTAGTGTATATTAAGCTAATTTAAAAAGAAACTTTTTTGCCCTGTTTGGTTCAGTGGATAGAGCATCAGCCTGCAGATTGGAGGGTCCCAGGTTTGGTTCCCAACAAGGACACATGCCCTGGTTGCAGGCTCGATTCCTAGTGTGAGACCTGCAGGAGGCAGCTGATCAATGATTCTCTCTTATCATTGATGTTTCAATTTCTCCCTCTTCTTTCCTCTCTGAAATACATAAAAAATGTATTTAAAAATAAAGAAACCTGTTTTTGGTGTAATAGTTAAAATAGTAATATCCTAATGTAGTGATTAGGGAAGAACAGAAGGAGGAATATTTCTCTTTGCTTTGGAACTGCATGTCAGTTGTTGCATTGTGATTATGAAAATGCTGCATAGCATATGGCCACAGTGGACAGCTTACCTGCAGAATTTTGAAAGAAATGAGTTTCAATTTTCAGTTTAGTTGGATACAAGTTGTTTATGGTTGTATGCAATTTTTGTCTTAGTTTAATTTAAATCTGATTAAATTAAATACAAGTAGAATGATATCAGTAGATATATTTTAATAGAGAATTAATATTTTATAGAAAATATTTAAAAATTGACATCTTAACATTTCATAAAGTGAAAATTTGAGTTTACTTTTTCATTTATTTTAGAGAGAAAGGAGAGCGAGAGCGAGAACAGAGAAACAGAGAAACAGAGAAACAGAGAAACATCGATTTGTTGTTCCATTTAGGCATTTATTGCTTGCTTCTTGTATGTGCTCTGACCAGAGATTAAAACCTCAGCCTTAGTGTATCGGATGATACTCTAACCAATTGGCCTACCTGACCAGTGCTAAATTTTAGTTTTTTAACATTTGCTCGTCCCTCCCACTTTGCTCATCCTCTGAAAAATGAGGCTTCTGTATTTACTTTCAGGATTAGGAGAAGGAAAGGAAAACTGAGGGGTAGAGAGAACTTGGTAAACATTTGTTACATCAGGGGACTTGTAAAATCCTTTTCAGTATTCTAAAATGAGCAAAATGGAGGCCGCAGAGATTTCCTTGATATCACTGAGTTTAGATTTTTCAGATTGAATATTTTATCCTCATCACCTTTTCTATACCAAACATATAAAAAGCATTTTTTTGTGATTTATGCTTATACTCTGGAATAATTTAAATATATAAAACTTAAGTTACAAACAGAATTTTGCAGAATAAAAAATTTTCATTAATATTAATCCATCAGCTCATAAATGTTATTGTTATATAAAATATTTAAATTAATCTTACCAGAGTTGTGAAAATGAAGAATATTCAAAATAGAATTAGGTGAATAAGAGAGTTGTTATTTTTAGTAATTAGTGAAATAATGTAAAGTGATTATGTGGGTATTGGATTGCTAATATAAATATCTATTTAACGTAGCAAAAAAAGATCATACTCCTGTAATTCTGAGAGATTACAAGTAAGAACATCAATTGTATATTTTTTTGTTTAAAAAAGTAAATAGCAAGCAGAATTTCAAAATTTGTTGCTGTTAAACAGAGTAATAAAGACAGCAGTAAGATGAGAAAAATGACAGTCAATTTTTTAAACAGAAAAAGGCTAGAATTCTTCATTATTAGATATACAGTATCAACATAATCGATCTAGCAGCATTGTATTTGAGCTGAAAATACACTTAAATTTGAGGCCATACACTACTCGTGTGAGTGAAACATCTTTCATATAGTTCTAAGATGAAATTACCCTTGAATGAATAGCATCTTCATTTATCTTCAAACCTCTTCTGTGCTTTTAGTGAATCTATTCTTTCAACATTCTACAATAAGAATTACATTATACCATTATACCAAAGTACTTCTGCAGTGTGAAATAGATTGGTTTGGAAAATGAACCTGGCTTTGCTATAAATTACATTCCCAGGTACAAAGGAGTTCGTTATTTTGTTTAAAATAGTCACAAATATAATTAAAGTCTTAATTTATGTTAAACCACAAATATGGCTATTACTTTAACTGGATTAGGTACTTAATCTGTCACTTCAAGAATGATACCTAACACTTTTCATTTGTAACATTAGATATATTATTTCAATTATAGGATCTGCAGCTGTTTGATATAAAAATTATTTTGTAGATAGATTTGTTCATGGTTTTTAATTTTAAAACATGCCTCTTCAGTAAAGTGAAAAATAATTCTTCAGTTGTCATCATAGTTTTCCTTTGTGTCCTAGTAAAACAAGATATGAATTAAAATTCAGAACCATTTTTATTTTATGTCCTGAAAATGGTATTGCATGCTTTAGAATAGTCCTTGGTGAATCTTTACATAAAATATTTCAAATTTAATTATGAAATGAATAAAAGCTTTGTCCCAAAGAAGAAAACTTAAGGTCTGCTGTCAGGATAGGTTTACCTTGTTGTAACTAAAAATGGATTGATTGTCTACTACTTAGAATTTGGATAACTTTGTTAATGTGATTCACATACTTTTTAGAAGCTATGTTTATAATTCTTTAAATTCCACAAAATTAATTATTATAAAGCACCCAGCCTTTAAAAAACTTATTCAATATAATTTCTTTAAACTTTTTTTTATTTTTGAAGTGTTTATTTTATGTACAAAGAGATAGCATTGTTGTAAGGTAGATAGATGTCTTCAATGACCCATTCACAGAAGTTCCCTTAGTCCAACTTAATGAAGCCGATGCCCTTCGCATACTGGCGGAAACACTGGCGGCACATGTTGAGGCCGTACTTCCGGATCAGGCCATGGTGGTTGGAGCAGACACGGCAAGAGCGAGAGCCCTGGCCGAATTTCCTCGGGTGGCTCCAGTAGAGTTGCTGGTGACCCATCTTGCTCACTGGGTAGCAATGAGGCAAAAGGAAAGCTCTTTAAACTTTTGAATTATTTTTATATCTTTACTAGAGGCCTGATGCATGAATTGGTGCATGGGTAGGATTCCTAGGCCTGGCCTGCAATCAGGGCCCATCTGTGGGGTGACCAGAAGGGCAATTGGGGGCCCCTGCTGGTACCCGCCTTAGTTGGTCTGGGGCCTGCAGGCTGGAGGCAGCTCCTGCATTGAGCATCTGCCTCCTGGTGGTCAGTGCGCATCATAGTGATCGGTCATTTTATCAGTTCTACTGTTCGGTGGATTTGCTTATTAGGCTTTTATTATATAGGATTAGGAAACAATGTTGAATTTTTTGTTTAAGTTCAATTAAAGAATACTGTTATGCATTTTACCAAGGCTCATTTTGTTTTTGGAATAAAGAAGAGGAAAGAAAATCATTATTACTGCTCATTGGTAAATGATTCAATATTGAGTTACCATTATTTTATTAAAATGAAAGGTATACATTTTATTCTTGCCATTTACTATTTAGCATATCCTAATAATTTTTTTCTGTTTTTATTCTTCTCAGTTGGGAATATTTATTTTATCTGTAACTAACAAAACTTTAAAACATTCATTATAGGACCTCAGGGGGGAAAGTTTCTTTTCTTTATTCCCAAATTATTCACTGAGTGCCAGTCATGCAACTGGTATTGCATTAGGTTCTTAGGTTACAAGAATTAATCTTTTCCTTTCTTTGCCTATTTTACATCTCTTTTCCTTAATTTCGACCCTACAACTTACTTTTATTTATTCTAACAGGGAAAGCTTGTATCTTTTCCTATTCTGATTATTATTTTTTGTTGCTTTTAGTCTATACTTGATTTTTTTTCCTACAGCCATCAGATGTTGATGTATCTAAAATTGAATCAAATATTCCAGGAATAGTTTTCAAGTGAGAGTTGTACTATGGGAGGTCCTCTGATTTGCTCTTAATAGCATTTCATGTTTTGGCAACAAATTTGTTTTATTTAAAGCTTATTTATGCTTATTGAATTGTAGTTTCTGATTACTTCGGCACAGCTATTTTTTTTTAAGGTGAATTCCTTTTACTGTTTTCTAAAACACTATCTGTTTATTGATATTTATATTGTTGACTTTTAAAAATCCTCTGAATTTAAAAGGAGTTAATACTATTTTTTTTTTGCATATAAACAATAGAAATTTATTTCTTAGTTATGGAGACTAGAAGTTCAAGAAGTTCAAGATAGTTGAGAGAGGGCACAATTTTGGGTTGCAGAGTTTTTATTTTTTATTGTTGAGAGTATCATAGATGTCATCCCCCAGTTCCTCCCACATTTAATTTTTAAAGAACAGTGAGCTTTGTTGTATATTACTAGTTATCTATGAAGTTATGTTTGCATTTATTATTATGAATAACAATATTTTACTCATTAAGCAAATATTTATTGAGAAACTAGTATGCCAATGTTAACACAGTGGATAAGGTAGACATACATAGTCATTGTGTACTAATGGAGCATGTATTCTGGAGGTAGAGGCTTTTTATCAGTTTCATTAGTGTGTTGCTTAGAAAAATTATTTGTAAAGTAAAAGTTTATGTCAGTATCCTTATTCACTTGTTTTTGCCTTGTTAGAAAGAGTTTATATTATATGAGATACATAATAAAAACAGAAATCATACACTTGCTCTTTAGAAAAGTACTTTGGGTTATGTTGCCTCATTTATCCTTTAAATATCTATTTAGAGATTTTTATCTTAGTGTACAATTTTGCTATTTTGATTTTAAATAATATTTTACATACAGTACCTCAATTATTCTGCTTAATAAATTTTCATTTTAGAAATCAATGCTTATGAGATAAAGAAACTTTCTCAAGCTAACACAATCAGTTGCTAAGACTCCACTGCGAGATGTCTCACTGGGAGGCTCTGCTTTATTAATTCCTTTTTGTTCTATACTGACTCTTAAAACTGATGCAGAGACTTTTCATTTTTCAAAAGATACTGTAGTCTTCTTCCATTTAAACAACTTGCTTCTTAAATCTATCTTTTGTTAGGATCCATTAAGTTCTCCTAAGGCACTTATCCAGCGACAATTAAGGAATGGGGATGTGCTAATGGTTCACCCAGTCATAATAGTGGTATGGCTTATGAGTCAGCAACAGAGAGTCATTTGCTCTAAATTATGGTAAGAATAGCATCTTAATGAGGCAGCATCTTCACTGGGTAAATGTAGTGACCAGAGCAGGCCTGTTGTTGGCTGGCTGTGTTTCCATTCAGCTGGGGTGGAGACCTTTTCACCATTTTCTGAACCGTTTTTAGTTATCTTTTTGAAAAGCCATAATGCAATTAAATAAAATAATATTTGATATTTTAAGGTTTTTAATATTTGGATTTTATTTCCTTGTTTCTGTCAGGAACTGTCATATTTATTGTTTTCTGTAAAAGAAATGAATGACTTTTTGGCTTTGAACTTAATTTCACTAATTTCCTCCCTACATTTCTTTCTGGAATATTATTAGTATATTTCTCCATGAAAAAAGACTTGAAGAAACTAGATATGCATAATACTTGAGATGTATTGCTTTTGTTTGATTTTCTCATTAATGCTATTCTACTTTCCTACTTACATTAATTATAAGAGACCTGCATACTTATTTTTAATCTCCTGAAGGTTGAGCCATAGTTGTTGAGATTTTAAAGGACTCTTGCTGGCAGTGGCTTTTTCATGTCACTCATGTCTCAGCAAATTTTCAGAAGATAATACTTCTCTCATTGGATGGCTTTCTTAGCTTATTTTAAATTATTCTTTTTTAAAAAAACCATATTTTATTGATTCTGTACAGAGAGGAAGGGAGAGAGATAGTCAGAAACATCGATGAGAGAGAGTCATCGATCAGCTGCCTCTTGCACACCCCCTACTGGGGATATGCCCGCAGCCAAGGTACATGCCCTTGACCGGAATCGAACCCGGGACCTTTCAGTCCCCAAGCTGATGCTCTATCCATTGAGCCAAACCGGTCCTGGCAAAGCTGCTTATTTTAACCAGGCAGTTAAATTGGCTTTTCACTTGGTGGGCTGTAGATGCAGGGGATAGAAAACACCAAAGATAAAACTATCCGTGATTGTATTTTTATTCTGTATAATATCAGTTTCTAACACCTTGATATTACAGACCTACAGGAAAGTATTGACAAAGATGATACTGTTCTGTACATACTTCTGTCACCTGTGTCCATAAAAGAGATGGGGTGGCCTTTGAGATTGGGTTTCTCAGTTTTCAATAGAACATGCTTTTCTGGTTTAAAAAAATATAGTTGTACCTTAGCATCTTCAGGCCTTTGAAAAGAGAGCAGAGTGGAGTTGCTTGTTATTCCTGTTTTCTCTTGCTAACATGTCTTTTTTTCTTCTTTTTTTGCAAAGATATCTTTAATGCACTGATTACCATTGTTACAGACCCACTGGGTGCAATAGAACTTTCTGTGATGATGTAAATGTTCTGGTGTTTTTTTTTGGGGGGGTATATGAGTGTGTGTGTTTTGTGTGTTGTCCAATAAATAGATATCCAGTAGCCACATGTGACTTTTGAACAGTTGAAATGTGGCTGGTATGACTGGGGAACTGAATTTAAATTTTATTCAACTTTAATTCACTTAAATTTAAGTTAAATAGCCACAGATGACTAGTGGCTACCATATTGGACAGCACAGTTTATACATCATTATTCTGATAGAATGTAGTAAGTTTTTGACTCAAAAACTTTATATTGTCAATCACTTGAATTAGTTTGGAATAAAATATCCAACTGACGAATAGGATTTATAGGATTTAGGGGAGTTATCTTAAGTTATTATTTATTTTTACTATAATTAGAACTACATTTTCCTTTGGATTTAGATAAGGAAAACATGCAGATTTCAATTTTAGATTGAAAGTAAAATGTGTTTTAGGTTGTTTCAAGCCTATTTTATTTGGAGTATTTGGAGTGCTGGTAGGGGATTGAAAATGAAAATGAAAGGTGAAAATACTATTTTGGAATGTTTTGGGGATTTTTTTTCATCCTACAAGAGAAAGGGGTGATACTGTTTGAATCAAAGTCTGGTTTGGTTTTAGAATTTTTATATTCTTGAACACAATCATAGTAATGTTTTGTATTTTGAAAGTTTGGATGAAAATATTGTGTTTGTGACATCAGACTTCTTTGTGAAGTACAGATTAATTAAGAAAACATTTTGAATCAGGGATAAAGAGTAATTAAAGTAAATATTGTAAAACTAATATTTGGCTAACCAGAGTTAGCCCTTAATTGGACAAAATTGATGTTAAATTGGACAAAATTAAGTTTGTATTTATAGTAAAGGAGGAGAAAATTCACAGGATTGGAAGTATGGCTTTGGTTATAGAACATTACAATTTTGCTTAATCATTTTTGTGAAATACAGCTTTCTGGAATATTGATCAGTATAGTTGCCATTATGCATGTATTATAGCAAAATGCAGTATATCACATTTATTATTTTTTATATATTATGACTGTTAACTAACAACTGAATATTATTTAGACCTTTGAGGAGATATAAGCAATTCTTTCAGATTTCTTTCTTCTTTTGGGGGCCTCAATTCTCTCTTAGTTCCTCATTCTTAGCATATGATTTCTCCTTCTGTTAATTATGGAATATGAGCACCCTTTAGTTTTCTTATTATACTGCAGTTCTCATCACTGTTTCCGACCACTCCTTATATGATAGTGGAAAAAGTGTCCTGTTTTTTGGCAAAAGTCTTTCCACATGTGCTTTTATTCCATTCCTTTTTTCCTTCTCATGGATTTTGCATGTCAGTTTTTCTACCTGTTTCTTGTAATTTCAGCCTATTTTCACTTTTTCTTTCTATTTATGTTTTAATGAGCTCAGCCTTTCTCTACCATCAGTGCTGTTGCATGTATAATGGAAGGGAGTTGACCTTTTTAATCCTTCCTGCCTTCTCTCCTCACTACTCTTCTTGAAAGAGCCATTTAAACTT